ACTCATTTGAGAATTATATAATATTTTATAAAATCAAAGATATAGGAAACGGTTTATATAAGGTTCCAACGATAAAATGTAGAACTAAGGATGAATCCGAAGAGGTTGTTTTAAGGTTGAAAAGGTCCCTAATTGATCATCTCGGCATCAAGATGTATGAGTGCATGAAACAAAAAATAAAAAATTCAGAGTGTCGGAAATTGTGTATCTTACAATATATTATCTACACCGTCCATTTTAGGAATTTTCATATGTTTATAGATCTACATGATTTTAACCATTTTTGGAGCTTAAAAGTATTTAATTAGATATGAAAATAGATTTTCAGTTAATCCTAAGAAGTTTTTACACAAAAAACTACATGACATGATAAAATTTGGTGGTGTGTCTTAATTGCATTTATTAAGACTAGGATATATGAAATTGGAAATCCGTGAAGTAGAGGGAGCAAAATCTGTTGTGTATGGGATCGAGATCCATGCTTTAGGAGGAGCGAGATCCGTTGTGAATGGCATCGAGATCCATGAAGTAGAAAGAGCAAGATCCATGTTTAATGGGAGCGAGCTCCGTTGTTAATAGGATCGAAAATCCTAAAAATTGAAGCGAGATCCCAAAAAAATGGGAACGCGTTCCGAGCGAGATCCCTGCTATGGAGTGCCAAAGCTGGGTCCGGGAGCTGGAGCACCACCCTAGTTGGGCGCTTCTAGTAACTATGGTTCAAAACAGAGAAGGGATCATATGGTTCATTGTACTTGCTTAACATTTAAATTGGGCTTCAAGACTCCACATTAAGCGTGAGATGAACTGATCAAAGCACATGCGAAAGACTTCACATAATCATACTCTGCATATTATCCTCCCTAAACCTCGTAATAAGGGTGAGGATTTTAGACTTTTCCTTATCCTGTCTCAAGCTCGAGCAAAAGAGGTGGGTTGTATTAGATAGGCAGCCAGCATAAAATTTTGGTGGATCTTATCATGATAACCGACCTCAAATTGTTGGTATAAGGCTTAGACAATGATGATGACGACGGACTTTTCACATACAATGCCTTTCAACATAGGCTCATGTATAAACATGAGGCCCCAACATAAACAACAAGATCATCACCAGCAGCAGCAGCAATAATAGCAGTCCCCACAGCATAAGTATGAAGTAATTACGTTACCTTCTACTTATAGGATCACAATTACACAAGAAACAGAATGGCAATTGTACGACATTTAAAACCAAAACCTTTCTATGTTGCATTCTTAGAAGAACATGACAAAATATTACATATAAGGTGGCATCACTTGAGCTTCATCATCGATTTCTCCGATTTCCATCCATATAGTGAATACTTGCTCCAAACAGTTGACATTCTCCTCATAGGGATTCCCTTCCAATCTTCACAATTTGTCAAATTCTCTGATTCATTTAAACAGATGGAAACCTCTTTATCGTCTCGATCAGATCAGTCACTACTCATTAAAATGGATTGCTCCAGCTTCCCAAACATGACAGCATTGATGAAAACAAATAGATCGGTGCACCCAGGAAGTTCAAACGTGAGGCCTTCTTTCGGTAACCCAGCAGAATAAGTTAAGATGTAATATAAACTACATGTCAATATTGTTCCAAGAAGTCATTCGATTTCCATATATTTTCAACCAAATTTGCATCGGTATTCATGTACACATAATCAATGTTTTGAAACTTGGCAAGCCAACTAGGGACTCTCCAAAGTCGAATTAGCTCTAGATTTCTCCAATGTAAACAATTAGGACCCAGCAGTCAAGGTCCCTTACTAGCTGGACCTTCCTGGCATGACCGAACTCAGTTCAAACTCTGACAGACTTCTTTGCCACTTCACTAAAATCAGCTCAAAATGGTCCTAAAATCCTATAGACCCACCGGCCCGTATTCCCCCTGGACACTTTTCAGTCCACTAAAATCACCAAAGGGACAAGTCTGGGTTCCATCTGAATATTCCGAGTCTCCTGATCGATTGGGCGCAACTGCAGTCTAGTCAATTAATCATTGTTTTCTCTACTTGTAAGTATGATTTCCCACAAGGGTGTTCCGGTCATCCGTCGGCTAAGTATACCATACACACATCAGGGATCGACCCTCACACTGTATCCCTTAGAAAAGTAGCACTCTGTTCCATTTCAACTCTAGGCCACCTAGGGTTTTGACACCATCAAGGACTTAGATCCAATCAAGCATTGCCCTTTCACACTTGAAAAGACTCAAGTTTCGATAGGGCCATGACATTTACAAGCACATATGGGCTCCCTTTGAATTTTCTAAAATCTGAAACCAAATGCATTACTTCACTCTAAGATATCCATATCCCTTCTCATGGTTAGAAACACATTGGTTTCTTATCCATTGTAATAAAAACAGACGAATTCAAGATTGTAATAAAAAGAAAGAAAGAATTGGATTTTATTTTCCTTAATAAAAAGCGATGTTCATTAATTTCCAAACAAAGATGAGGATTAGAATTCGAGATTGTAATAAAAAGATATGAGGATAAGAATTCAATATTGTAATAAAGAGAGAGAGAGAGAGAGAGAATTGGATTTTCCTAAATAAAAAGCGATGCTCATTAATTTTCAAACAAAGATATGAGGATAAGATTCAAGATTGTAATTAAAAGAGAGAATCAGATTTTCCTAAATAAAAGAGCCAAAAGTAGAAATATATGCCCTTTATTCAGGAGGTAATGGCATAACTGTAAATTAAAAATTCGACCGTTTTGTTAGTTTCCCGCTATTCATGTTTTCACTGTCTTATCTTTTTAATTATCGGATAACTTTTATTGCAAATTTCTTTCCTTTATTTTAGCGGATACCTGCTATTATTTAGGGGATATCTATCCCCAAAACCTGTATATAAAAGTAGAGATCACGAATTGTCTCCAAATTTCTGAGAGCTCTCATCTCTGCGACAATTAGAGAACGAGAAGCCACCCTGTGGAATTTCAGAGGCCTCTTATCTCTGCTACAATTAGAGAAGGAAAACCCACCCTGTGGTTTAGATTTTATTTAGAACTCAAGCTCGTTACCAGATCAACAATTGCTGGTCATCATAACAGCAGCTTTTTGAACTTTTTATCAGAGCAAAAATGGTGGCTCCTCTTCCAATTAAACACTGGATAAGATTAAAAACTATAGGGGAAGGCTCTTATGGATCCGTGAGTTTGGCTCGAAATCTCGAAGACGGCAGATTGTTTGCAGTGAAGTCTGCAACCTCCAAGAATGAAGAGTCTCTGGAATGTCTAGAGAGAGAAATTAACATTCTCAAAAAACTAGATTCGCGTTTTGTTATAAGATATCTTGGCCAAGGCAGAGACGGAGAAGGAAAGGTGAACTTATTCATGGAGTATATGGAGGGGGGAAACTTGTCTTCACTTTCGATGAGAAGCAACGGGTTGCCGGAAATGGCCATTAAAATTTACACAGCCTCCATTCTGAGAGGTCTGGAATACCTTCACGAAAACGGAATTATTCATTGTGACGTTAAAGGAAATAATGTCCTCTTTGGGTTATTAGGCGAAGTCAAACTCGCCGATTTTGGCGCAGCAAAGATGGTTTCGAGGGAGTTTCCTGCTATTCACGCTGGTACTTTGAGGTGGATGGCGCCTGAAATTTTTAAAAAGAGGGAACAGGGCACAGCATCTGACATATGGTCTCTTGGTTGTACAGTTGTGGAGATGGCCACAGGGATTTTGCCGGAATTATCGGAAAACTTCACTGGAATTTCAGATTCCGGTGTTGATTTTCTTGAAAAGTGTTTCAGGCTAGAGCCCTCGCAAAGGTGGACCGCTTCTCAGTTGCTTCACCACCCCTTTTTGGCTTCTGCATCCTCCAACCAAATCCTTTTTTCTCCAAGGACTGTCCTCAGCGAATCATCGGAATTTTATTTTCCAGACGACTTTTGGTTGCGGGTTTTGAGGAAGAACAAACAATTGACACCCTAAAAAGTCACAGAGCTATGGAAACAAAACAGATGATCAAAACCCTAACAAGTTGAGAGGTGGGAAAGCAAAAGACTGGATAACAGTAAGGTCTTCAATGGCGGGAGAACTTCTTTGCCCCTAAGTTTCAGCCACGAAATTTCGGACGACGGTCCAAATATTTCGGAGTTTGCGGTGACGGCAATTTTCCTGAATGCAACAATTTTCTGTTTGGCAGGGGTTTTTATTCATAAACAGAGCCCTTATGTCAAATTCATATGTCCATTGTATTGTGGCATTAGACATTTATGTTTTCTTTTACCCGAGTAAGATACTTGAATTCTTAGTCTAAATTGGAAAGAAAATTTTTTGTATGTCCAGTTACAAGAATAACCCAAACTGGATGAGTGTATAGTGGTGTTATTGACTGTTTATCTAATGAAAATAGTGGTTTGAATCTAAGCTTGTTTTTCTTATTTAAATCGGTTTGCCTATTAAACTTTTAATATAAGATGGGTTTTTCATGCTCTCTAAATTGGATCTAAATGAACAATTGAAATGGATCTAATTACAATGTCATGAATGTACATTGCTTTATTTTTTATTTTTTATTTTTTATTTTTTATTTTTTATCCAAAACATTTTGACACCAAAATTTGGGCGTCCCCTCCTCTTTGAAATTTCACTTGAAACAAAAAAATAAAAAATATGAAATAAATATTCCTAATAAAATAAAATAACCGAAATACCCATGAAAGTTTTAGGGGTATTTTTATCATTTTTTTTTTTATTTTTTTAAGTACACTTCATTGAGATGATGACACATACCAAATTTAATATTTATATAATTTGTAGAATAAAAACTAAAAATTAAAATACTCTAAAGTGTTTGATCTAAATCAAATGATCAACGGCTTATTTAATCTAAATTAGACGGCTGGATTGGGGGAGTATAGAACTTCAATACAGTAGGGTAAGTATAGAATCTTTTCCGGAAAAAGAAAGGAAGCCAGGTGTATTTCCAATTTTTATTTTTTTCCCTACTTTTGAGATAAGCTAGCTTAAGTCCAAAAGCATAACACAAGGGATATGATCCATATTGTTATAATAACAATGTGATCATGAGGTACCATAGTCCCATCAATGGGTTGGAGGGTCATCCTAACCGCCCAAAACCGGAACCATCCACTGGCCCGTTCCGATCTAACCAGGCGGTTTGCGGTCAGATCGGGCGATTTTGCGAGCAATGCTACAAAACTATGGGGGCTCTACGTACCCAAACTCTTCAAACTTTTTTGCCGGTTACTACTCTTGGAGATCATTATTCACTATTATTGAATATTTCAATAATATTTAATATATAAAATATATAAATAATATGTGATTTTATATTATACTATATTATATAATATATATTAGTATATTACATATTTATATTATTAATTTATATTGATATTATATTACATTGTGTCATATACTATAGGTTTATATTTATTATATGAGTAATGATCCTATAGGACCTTCCCTCATCTATGACCCCAATGGATCACCATTAAAGTTGGCATGGATCTCTAGAAAAGTTATCACATGGGTGTGGGAAAAACCTAAAAAGCACCTATTGGCGAAATGCCAGCGTTTTGCCTCTGTCACGGACTTGCTATGTCCGTGGTGGTTTATCGAATGGACGGCGTTGTCCATTGCGGTTCCGCGTGAATTATAGGACCGCCACATACCTAGCATGTCCATGGCGGTCAAAAAACTTACATCGTCCGATTTTTTCGAATGGTGACTGACCTATGGGCAAAATCACTATAGCATTTCACCCATAGGCGTTGCGTAGATACTTCCTATATATATATATGGGCATTGATTGTATAGTAATATAGTGTAACAATCTTCAAAAACCATGATAGGACCATTTGTTTTATTCAAATTTTAAAATATGGGAAAAGTTTATATAGAGCTGAGGCTCTAAACAATCACATTCGAGCCTACCTCAAAAATTTTGCTAGACGAGATTGTTTTGATGCCCAAAAGTCCCCAAATTGATCATCTCCACATCAAGATACATGGACATGAGAAAAAAATTGATTTTAAGTTTGGAAATAATGAAGTTTGTAATGGATTTTTTACCGTCAATTTTCAAAAATTTCAAGGTTTAATAGATCAATCGATCTACACCATTTTTGAAGCTTTAAACTTTATAAATAAAGATGAAAATATATTTTAAGGTTATTACAAAGATTTCTAGTGTTGAAACCACATTTCTCGACACTATTTAAAGGTAGGTTCTAATTTAAAGCCTAGGCTCTATACAAACTACACCATTAAAATATACGCTCTTTTCATTCTAATAAACAATCACGTTAAAAAAAAAAAAATTGAAATTACGGCCTCAAAAGTATTTTTTTAGCCCAATTAACATAAGCTGTCTATTTTGATAAGATGCTTAGATCTAAGCCTTAGAAGGATTTTCTTTCCATTTTTTTTAGATGCCTTTATTATCATTAGATGAACAATGTTAACAAAGAAATAATAATAATTTTGAGTTTGTAAAAGCTAAGATATTGAAATTCCCAAATGAGTCTAGATTCGTTGTTGGAGGGAACGTATTTTGACCATATCTAGGGTTCAAATCAATTTTTTTTTTTTTTTAGGATTGATTATTGAGATGAAGCGCGTGTGTTTGCAAAATTTTGGATCATACAAATACCACAGACATAGTATACTATGATACAATTGTTGTATTAGATTCACTGCCCTATATATATATATATAAGAGCAATGATTTCAGGCAACCATTGTATAGTAATATGATGCAACAACCTTAAAAAACCATCTTATAGCCATTTTGTTTGATCCAAAATTTGAAATATACACCCTTTTCATTCTAATGAAAAATCACAAAAAAAAAAAAAAATTGAAGACACAACCTAGAAAGTACTTTTTTAGCAACCTAAAAAGTACATTTTAAGGTTGCAAGGGTTGTAACCACTATGAAAACAACCTAGAAACTTTTTAGCAACCTAGAAAGTACTTTTTTTGCACGTCTAGAAAGCCATGTTTGTGGTATTTGTATGACCTCAAATTTTGCATTCGCACTCTCTTCATCTCAATAATCGATGCCCCCAAAAAAGAAAAAGTTCAATTTGAACCTTAGATATGGTCAAAATGAATCCCCTCCAAAAACGAATCCAAATCATTCATTTTGTAAATTTCAAGATCTTAGCATTTATAAACTCAAAATCATTATTTTCTTTTTTAACATTGTTCATCTAATGATAATAAAGCCATCAAACAAATTTGTAAATGAAAAAATCTTTCTAAGACTTATATCTAAGCATCTCACCAAAATGAACTGCCTATGTTAATTGCGTTTTCAATTTTTTCTTTTTTTGGGATTGTTCATTAGAATGAAAATAATGTATAATTTAAAATTTGGATCAAACAAATGGCCAGAAGATGTTTTTTTAAGGTTATTGCATCATAGTACCATACAACAGTTGCATGAATTCATTGCTATATATATAAGCAATGATCCAATACAACGGTTGTATCATAATATAATGCAACAACACTTTTAGAAAACCATGTTTGTGGTATTTGTATGACCTCAAATTTTGCACACACTCTCTTCATCTTAATACTCAAATCTCCAAAATAATAAAAGTTCAATTTGAACGCTAGATATGGTCAAAATGAGCCCCCTCCAAAAACGAATCTACACCATCCATTTTGTGAATTTCAAGATATTAGCCTTTATAAACTTAAAATCATTTTTTTCTTTTTAACATTGTTCATCTAATGATAATAAAGCCATCCAAAAAAATTAGAAATGAAAAAAATCCTTCTAAAGTCTAGATCTAAGCACTTCACCAAAATGAACTGCCTATGTTAATTGGACTAAAAAAATACTTTCTAGAATGAAAAGAATGTATATTTCAAAATTTGAATCAAACAAATGGCCATAAGATGGTTTTTTTTAATGTTGTTACATCATATTACTATACAAGGGTTGCATGAAATCCATTTGCTCTATATATATATATATAT